GTTTCACACCACCAGAAATCAAAGAAAATCCCAAAAGATTTCTAAAACACTTGAAGGTGTTACCTTTGACCAGAAAAGCTCAAACTAAAGGCATTTACCTGATGTATAAAGATCCCACACAAGCTGGTAAAGTCTTACCCTGTCGAGCAAACAGAAGCGAGGTTTGACTGTTCTATGAGCTTTTTCCACAACCTTGCCACCTCAATACGTTATGAGAATGTTTCAAAGGAACTCAGTAAGATTTATAAGGACCAAATGAAATTGGACAGAAACATTATCGAACGAAAAATCTCGAGAAAACGACCTAAACTGTAAACTTGCCGACAGCATTGCTGCCTAACGTTAGGAGTTGTTTTGTCAGGGAAAAAAACTCAGGCCCAAGATTCTGTATATGCTTGAGGTACACGACACGGACAACCGGAAGTGAAGAACCCTTGCTGTATGGTATGACGAAATTACGGCTTTGTGGTACAAAATACACACTGTGGCTACCATGGGTGACTAACTCTCAGCAAATCAATCAGACGGTATATATTTAATCTCAACAATTGTCGACACAAATTGGTATTGATCGGATCGGTTAAAACTGCAAGCAAAATAGCGAGCGGAAACTTATTACAATGTAAATTAAGCTAAATACGCCTAGGAAAACTACAACGAAAATAACGATGAAAACTACGCAATACAAAACTTACATTTGTTGTGATGCTATAGAATTACTGCCAAACAACAAACGTGCGGCACGATGAAATACAATTTCTTCCTCACAAGTGGACTTACTGAGTAAACTGAACAAACTGCGATGAACAAAAACACATGCTACGTTACGCAACATTACGAAGTTTTAAGTAGCTGGCGCACGCAAAATTTGAACTGTAATTAGTGTTGTTTACACAAGAACAATAATAAAAAAAAAGAACAAGGCTTTTATGATCTACACTCACTGCTTCTTTCATGTGTCGCACTGATCCAACATTGACAATAAAACAAAGTCGTAAATTTAGTACATTAACAAAAAAAAAATTGAAAATATTTAGTTGAAACGATATCGAATCGCTAAAAAACTGATTTATGTAAGAAGTAAGGCGTTGCAACAAGAAGCAGAAATTGTAAAAAAAAAGGAAGGAAAAACTTGAATATTTCATCATTAGACGCTCACGTACGTGGTACAGCCTGAATATGTAAGTAGTGAGGATTTATTACAGGAATTATTGATTTTATTGTGGTTCTGTAGCTGAATGAACGTTTGATCATCAGGTTATCCGAATTATATTAATCATGACATTCTGACTGCTATACAGCTAGTCTTCGTCAGGCGACGAGGTCGAAGTTTTCGAGTCGCTATTTAAAGTACCTTGGTTTGCTGTTTATGGTGTCTTTTGGCGCGCAGTCATTGATGTATTTCGATCCTCATTAATATTAAAGCACCTTGCTAAAGAGGTGTATAGCATACACCAGTGATCGTATCATTTTAATCTCCGCCATCGAAAAATGTGTGAGAGACAATACCAAGCGAGTTTGGATGTAGCCATCTTCAACCTTGCCAAGAAACGTGGCCGCTACATGGCAAATGAGTTCTTGATTCGAAAAAAAGTACATTTTCCTTTCTTGCAGGGAAGGGAACTTATCACCGGAAAGGACCATTAGCCAGGCTACTTCCGCTTGCACGTGAATCAGCACCACTCCCTAGAGACAATCACGTGCTACACTCTACAGCAGGTTAGTGTGACTATCACGTGTTTAGTTGTGAAGTGCGTGTGTTTCATCCAAGGTCTTAGAAAGGCGATGATAGACTCCTAGTTCAAAGTGGAGACGGCATCCTGTCATCTTGTCTCATTCTGTACCTTTTTTCTTGTGTGACAGGGGCTTAATACAATCAACCTTGTGTGTTTGTATGCCCTTCATGAGTGATACCTGAAAAATTTGTTGCAACAATTCGACGAAGTGAGCATAGGGCTCACATCACCATTAAAGCTGTGTTACCAGAATTTCACGTTCATTTTGTATACATCAGTCGAAGAAAAACAAGCTAATGGTATAAATTAACCCAAAGAACTGTACAAGCAAACTAACTTAACCCTTCCCCGTCAGTCCGCTGGTGTACGTCACTTGCCCATGTATGCGAAGAAGAAGCCATAATTCAGACATTCAAAAGTTTCCTACAAAATGCAGCGATTATGTCGCCGAGACATGGAGGGAGCTCTTCCAATTAACAACTGCAACTGTGATGAGAGGACTGAGGAGAGCAAATATTGGCACCTGATCAGTGTGGAATGGATATCAATCGAAAGGAAAACTGAAATTTTACTAGAGATGATGTTAGGAGGACACCATTCTAACGTGGACAAAATAGGCATGACAACAACTACTAAGGGGGGGAGGGGTAAGGAGGTACATTAGCTGAAAGAAGCCTGACGTTGCGCGAGGAATGAGACGAATGAAAATTAAAACAGACAAGGAGATAGTTGCGTCTAATGAAGACGAGAAGAATAAAGTTGAGGACGATGAAAGAAGAATACGAAAACATGAAATAAAGGAAACATACGATAAAAAAGGGAAGGATGGAGGAAAAAGCGATGCGCAAATGTGAAAAGCTGCAAAAACTTGTGTTAGAAAAAAGGTAAAAAAGGCGCACACATGTAACAGTATAAACACGTCTGTCGGCGTTCAAAACCGTTTGACAATATGGAGAACGATTGACAGTGAAAGAGACACAATCTAAGAAAGGAAGCGCTTCTGTTAAGTGGGTGGGGACTTGAAACATGGAATGTTACTTCACTGTCAGCTGCACAGATTAGCAACCTAGCGCGCGCGGGTCAAAACAGGAATTGAAGTCCCCATAGGATCTGTTCTCTCTGCTTCTGACGTGAATCCTTAGAATGTGGAGACAGACAATGAAAATCAACGCAGTTTTTTTATTTTATACACTGTTTATTTCTATTACACAAAGAAGTAAAACAAATAAGTACAATAGAACTGCATTGAATTGTTCAAGGCTTTAAGTAAAATACGCGCTAAACGGAGGCACTAAAATGGATCCATTAACTTCCAAGACTGATTATAATTTAAATTCTCCTCACAAAATTAATACACCTACAAAAATGGTGTCCAGAATTAGAGAAAATCAAAACTGGAGGATAATTTTATGCTACAAACGTAATGTTACATCGAATTCTAAGAATGAAGCAACAAAGAAACACATTCTTATTATTTAGGAGAATTTGTCTTCAGAACTTGGGAGTTCATGAGTTAATTAAACTAAGGTAAATGAACAATTATCTTCCACTGTAAATAAAGATAGCATCAAAATACTTCACATGAAATTCACTGACTTTATACATTAGTTAAAAGCGTCCACCTTGTCTTGTTTTTAAAATCCTACGTTATATCATATTAAACCATGTGCAAGGTTAACTATTGCATTTTCTACCAGCATATACAAATGGTAATTACAAAAGTCTGCAAAAGTAAGATTGATTTTACAAAAATTTCTTCTAACACAGCTGTGATACAGTATGTCTTAAACTTTTGACCACATAACGGGTTCTAATTACAAAGAGTTCTCTGAATACCTAAGTATAAATTCTTAAATCTAAGAAAGATATTATCAGACATCTTCAAATTATACTAAGGTAAATTTAAAGCCATGAAAAAAAGTTCAACAGGGAAAATTTCAAACAGTGAAAGTTTTCTCCAGAAGCCCAGAAACTTTTCAACTACGGACTAGTTTGCGTTTATTTATGAACCATTTCACCATATTATTTCCCATTGAGGACTACATGGCTTTTTTCAATTGCTTCTCTAATTTATGGGTGTAAATATTTTCCTATTAAAACCAACAAAAAACAACCTTGTCACACATATTAAAAGTTAAAGCTATAAGTTCAGTTACAGTGAGCTCTGCCTCGTTGTTTCCTTGTTTAGATTACATGGACAATTTTTTACCTCTCTGTCGTGATTCTCTAAATACATAAGTGTTACATAGAACGGACTAAAATTAACCAAACTCATTTGATTCAAATCAGGGTTGTAGCCAGCTTTTAGACTTGTTGAAGGCCTGTTCCCTAAGAAAGTTCAATTTTTGTTTCAACATTAGCAAGAGTCATATTGTCAAAGTCAAGCGGGTGGAAAATAATTGTAGGCCGGGCCTACGGGACTAGAGGCTGGCTACACCCTTAAAACTATATCTAATGTCTCTAATTTATGGTCAACAAAATTCAATAACATCATCTCGGATGTTTACTTCTTCAAATCAAGCTTAGAATGGCAATCTTGGCAGTGATAGAATTAGATTGCATTAAAATGGATTGAAAAAAAAATGATAATCTACTTTTAGTAAAGATAATCTCAATTTGTAACAAAGAAATTTTTGGTGTAGAAAAATCATCCAAGTTTAATCAACGTACGGCTGAAAATTTTGAAGATCAAATTTTTGAAATAAAAAATGTGCCAACTTTGCAAATGACGAACTGTTTCTTTGCTTATCAAAAGCTTAAAGTATAGACGTAATTAAAACCTGATGGACTGGCTCCTGGTTATATAAAAGTAAAAACCTTTTAAAGGCTTTCATATGATTTTCAAAGGTTTTTTTGTTTTTGTATGGAAAACAATTTAAAAATTGTTTTCTATACAACTGGTTGTAATACAGGAATAGAGCTGAATGTCATTTTGGCGAAAACGGAAACTTCCTAATCGCCTTCAACTACTGCACGCATTCATTAATGAAGCCTTGTTACATTTCGTTCTCTTCACAAGCATTAAATTTGTTAAGGTAAGAAGAAAGACAATTCCACTCATCAAACTGTTATGAAATAATCTGTTTTTATTTCCTCACAAAAGTAAAGTTACACATCTCAAGTTCCATTTAACGAAAAAGTAAAAAGGTTATGAAAAATAGCCAAAAATTGTCAAAATAGAGAAACATTTAAAACTTCTAAGTTCGTGAGTCATTCTTTTTGAGATGAAAAAATAGTTGATTTATGTGATTTTATATTTAAATTTTATCTTTCTTTTGCCATAAAGTCAACACTGACGTCATCTCCAATCAGTAAAAAGGGCGCCCAGTATTTGATGTCGCGGAACTTGTCTGATTCTCTGAGGCTTTTCGTGGCCAGGTTCAGTGACTCGCTTGCAGGTTTACCTTCCGCAAGGTGTTGATAAAAGTATTTCATGAACTCGAGAGTAGCCTCGTCATCGATGTTCCACAGGGACACCACAACAGACCGAGCACCAGCCCCCATAAAGGCACGCGCAATGCCAACCACACCTTCAGCCTTGATCTCGCCCTGACCACTGTGGCAGCAACTGAGCACCACAAGTTTGGCACGTAGTTGAACATTTAACACATCTCTAATTGTTAAAATGTAATCCTCCTCTCTTGGCATAGTAGATATTCGCTTTGGGTCAGGAGTAAGAGCAATTTCGCCAGTTTCCATACATCCGTGTGCCGCAAAGTGAACTAAGGAAACGGAACTGAGTCTTTTCAACACCTCACGTTTCGTGGCCTGTTTGCCAGTGATTGGCGTGATATTCAGAATTTTTCCGATCATTTCTACTTCTTCTTTAGCACACGGAAGCGGATCAAAGACTTTCTCTCCCTCGCTATCAGTGACCTCGGCTACCCACGGCTCTCCTACAAGTAACGCACCACTTCTTTTGTGATAATCATCTGGGCAATCGGCAATGAGTCTAAGACTTGTTAACGAAGGACCGAGTCGGATTCTGAACGATTCACACAGATATTTAGAATTACCATCCATGAGTGCAGCGTAAGGAACGAGCCACAGGGGTCCATCGGGAATAATGAGTAGCTCATCCCCTTGAACCAGGTCAGCCACCGGCTTCATAACGATATCATACAAAGTGCGCAAGCATTCGTTTTGTTCGATGGGAGCTTGAGGGTTGTCCTCTTTAGTTTTCACATCCACTTTTGAACAGCTCTCCCTCAAAGCATCCAAAGATCGATTCTCGCATCTCCCATCAGAAACAACACCAAGTTGCGTATAGACACCGAGCATGAACGACTTAAAGGACTGGCTAGCTCCACTATTCTCTGAAACAAAACCTTTGAGTTTACTTTGTCTTAACTGAACTTGTTTTTCTTCGGACACAACCCAAAGATTGACGCTAGCTCCGTCCACTGCCTGAAAGACAGTGTCTGATGGAACGTTCTTTAACACTGCTAAAATTTCATCGCCTCTCTTGTGCTGACTAGTTTCACCACAAAAGCTGGATTCCATGAGGTCGTTGAGAGCTTGAGCTCGTCCTTTCTCAGCAGCAAATAAGGCTTCAACGATATTACCTTGTTCTACGAGAACTCTAATCAAACCTGTATACACACCTTGATACTGATTTCGAAAATTGACTTTCCATTCATCTTTAGATTTTAGAAGTACTCTCAAGGAATCGTATAAAGTTATGCTAGCTTGGTAATGTTCAACAGCTTTTGGTAATCGACCCATCATCTCCAAAACCAATCCTAATGAGGAGTAGGCCCTTGCCTCCAAGGGTTTGTCTTCGCCCTCTTTGGCAATGTTGAGCATTAGCTTGTATGACTTGTTGGCTTTGATCAAGTCTCCCAAAGACCCATACACATCGCCAAGACTGCCATAAGCACCACCCTCCCCATGCCTATCTCCTACTTCTTTAGTTATTTTAAGATGTAGGCTCTGGAACTCTATGGCTTTTTTTAAATTACCCAGACTGCGATAAGCATTGCCAAGATTGCCATAAGCGTTACCCTCCCCATGCTTGTCTCCTACTTCTTTTGCTATATTGAGATGTAGGTTGTGGTACTCTATGGCCTTTTCTAACTCACCCAGCTTGTAATAAGCCATGCCAAGATGGCAATATATGTTACCCTCCCTATGCTTGTCTCCTACTTCTTCAGCTATTTTAAGATTTAGGTTCTGAAACTCTATGGCTTTTTTGAAATAGCCCAGACTAGAATAAGCATTGCCAAGATTGCCATAAGCACCACCCTCCCCATGCTTGTCTCCTACTTCTTTCGCTATTTTAAGATGTAGGTTGTGGTACTCTATTGCTTTTTTTAAATTACCCAGTTTGTTATAAGCATTGCCAAGATTGCAATAAACGTAACCCTCCCCATGCTTGTCTCCTACTTCTTTAGCTATTTTAAGATTGAGGTTGTGGTACTCTATGGCTTTTTTGAAATCACCCAGTCCTTTATAAGCAATGCCAAGATTGCCATAAGCGCTACCCTCCCCATGCTTGTCTCCTACTTCTTTAGCTATTTTAAGATGTAGGTTGTGGTACTCTATAGCTTTTTTGAAATCACCCAGTCCTTTATAAGCAATGCCAAGATTGCCATAAGTGGTACCCTCCCCATGCTTGTCTCCTACTTCTTTAATTATTTTAAGACGTAGGCTGTGGTACTCTACGGCTTTTTTGAAATCACCCAGTCCTTTATAAGCATTGCCAAGATTGCCATAAGCAAGGCCCTCCCCATGTTTGTCTCTTACTTCTTTTGCTACTTTAAGATGTACGTTGTGGTACTCTATGGCTTTTTTGAAATCACCCAGACGAATAAAAGCATTGCCAAGATTGCCATAAGCACCACCCTCCCCATGCTTGTCTCCTACTTCTTTAGCTATTTTAAGATGTAGGTTGTAGTACTCTATGGCTTTTTTGAAATCACCCAGACTAAAATAAGCATTGCCAAGATTGCCATAAGCGTTACCCTCCCCATGCTTGTCTCCTACTTCTTTAGCTATTTTAAGATGTAGGTTGGCGTACTCTATGGCTTTTTTTAAATTACCCAGATTGATATTAGCATTGCCAAGATTGCAATACATGTTACCCTCCCTATGCTTGGCTTCCCAGTTATAGAAGTCAATGACCTTCTTGACATCACCTGAACTTGGACCAACATGGTCATAGCTAATGTGATCTTTTTCCTCCACGGACTTATCTCCCATTTCTCTGAGAGACTGAAGTCTTAATGACAACAAAATCCTATTATTGTTGTCAATCTTTTTTATGTTAAGGTTTAAAAATGTAGAAAAAACAAAAAAGATCATTTTTCTGGATTGATATTTGATAGTCCATTTTTATAGTTGCGTGCTTGGTTCCCAAGCCCTTTAACAGGAGTGTGGCTAAGGGTTACCTTGTTATGATACAACATTACTGCTTTTCAAATGCAAATTACTTTGCAATTATGCCTACTAGATACTGATCTCTCTCAACAAGGTAATCTTCAGCCTCACTCCAAATCAAAGGCCTGGAAACTAAGTAAACAACTGTAAAATGGCTTATCAGGAAGGCTTGTGTTCAGGTAGATGTCAGTTTAATAAACAATCAGTCTTAAAGTCAGGTACGAAGTAAATCTACGCATTACAAAAAGTTTTCCACTGCGTGTAACCTCAAATTTTAACCCCTTGTTTCCAAAACTTGGGAAGCACTTGCTTGATTTTTAAATTAATACATCTTTAAGTTCAGACTAACATTTTACAGCAGTGAAAGCAATGACTCTAAAACACAGATATGTGCCTTTCAAAGTTATATTTGCCCATAGGAAAATACAATGAAAGTTTCCGAGTTTCTGAGTCGTGAAAAAAAATTTAAAGGCAAGAAAATCAACATAATATATATAAGCATTGCCAAGCATCTTTTTCTGACTCGTTTTAGAGAGATCATCTATCCACATATGTATACACTGGGTGAATATTAGTCTTTTAACTAAACTAAAGTACCAGTTGTGGCATGGATATTATGATTAAGACATGGCTAAAAGGAGTATATCACTATTGAGTCATGAGGTATTAACTTTTCCCACAGTTTTTACTCACACACACTAAAAGTATGAGATGAAAAGTTGCCATCGTAATTAATACCCTTCTTTGCATTTTCTCCATTGAAACGTCAAATTATGGAGTATTTCCATCATACCCATGGTAAACAATTAAAGATTACTTGAAAGGATACAGCTAATCCCTTATCACACCAAGTGATTGCTTCTTTAAATCTCTTTAGTTTAACACAGGCAGTGGCTCCTGTAGGCAACAACACGAAGAAGCAAATAATTACTCAATTCAATTCCAAGAAAAGAAAAGGAAGCCATTGAAAGCTAAATCATTACAGACCAGAAAACAAAACAAAATCAAAAAACTAAAGGGAAAAGAATGAACAGGCCCTATTAGGTTTCAGCTAGATTAGCTTTTGATAATTGAAACTTCTAAGAACATTTAAATTGCAGCTGACAATTCCCACACAAAATCACTAAGAGATAGAAATAAAATATAAGACATGCAATGTGAAAATAGAAAAATAAACCCATCTTTTTATAATTTTTATAATTATAGTACATTTTTTAGTTTTAAAACCTTTTTAGAACCAGGTTAAATTTCAACTTCGATCATAATTAACAAATAGAGAAGCCTTGACTGTGCTCTGTTCTGTTATAAAGCACTTAGGAAGCGGCTAGAGCACTCAAGAAGTGGGAAGAAACACTCGACTACGTCTCGTGTTTCTCCCTACACTTCTTTCGTGCTCTAGCCGCTTCCTAAGTGCTTTATAACAGAACAGAGCACAGTCAAGGCTTCTCTTTTTGTTTTATAATAAAGAATCTGTTAAATTCCCCAAGAATTACTTTCAATTTTCAAACACAAAATTTTATTTTCAAAGCGAACAACAGTGTCGTCAGCATGCTCTATACTCTCATAAAGCACGCTACAATCAGCCAATCAGAATCCCTGTTAGAATGGTTCAAATAATCTGATTGGCTGTACAACACAAAAGCTGTCAAAAGTGTCAAACCATCAAAGTTCAAAAACCATCAAAGTTCACAATCTGCGATAGTTTACAAACTAAAATAGTTCGGCAGGTCGAATTTAACACTTTTTCCTGAAGTTTTTAAGTCTCTAATACAGAATCTTGAAGTGAAATTTTCAGTGAACTTCAGCCGAATTATGGCTCACAAAAACACGCGAGTTCTTTCACATGACAAGGTAGAAAACAAACTGTTCAAGGCGAGTGTTTTTTAAATGAACGAGGGCCGAATTCACCGGAACATGAAAATCGCTCGGGACGACAGCACCGCAAAACTCGGCTGCAGTGACTGATGTGACTTTCCACTCAACGCATCGGAAAGGATATCAGAGCAAGCTCTTATTTTTTTACTCGAAGGGCGGCCGATGTAGCTTCTGAAGCTTACTTTACAGTGATGACCGGGATCGCCATGATGAGCGAGCCGCGATGGACTTCAGCATGATCATATTCGTTCAGAAACCTTCGTGATTAGTATGAATTTTAACAGTTACGCCAGTTTGGTTATATTTTTCATCATTTCTGTTTTGTTCTGTTTTGTTCTGTTTTGTTTTTGAACACTGAACTTTATATATTATATGAGTGTTAGCTGTGTTTGATTTTTATTACCGTACGTAAGCTTGCAATCTAACTGAGCTTGAAAATCTTTAAAACTCAGAATGCCTATTTTGTTTTTCCTTTTAAGGATTTTCGTATCTGCTCACATTTTAATAACGTAAATTACGGCGCCTGGTATGTTTACAAACCTTTGTTTGGTTCTTCTGTTGCTACTTGCCTAGTTGTTGCGAAATTTCACTTTCAATTATCGGAAAAAAGCTAAAAAGAAGTGCCGGAAAAGGTGGAACATAGTACAAGTTGGCAGATGGCGTGACAGCTTTAGCTCAGGTCTATGCTCTATACTCTCATAGAGCACGCTCTTTCAACCAATGACAGCGCGCGTTATATCCGAACTTTATTATAATACAAAATAAAATTTGATTTGATATTAACTAAGTTTCCCTTTAGTTTGAGTGAACTTAGAAAACTAAAATACTCATGCTAAAATTTTGCCTTAATTTGCATTCAGCATTGAGTTCTTCATCTAACTCAAAGTAATATTCTCATCATAATGGAAAGTCGCAGCGCAGCAGTCAAAAGCTGGATTCAAATGAACATCAGGATGGTCATGACCTCTTAATGAAAGTCAATTGAGACAAGATTTAACTTCATTTAACCTCATTTAACCTTAGAGTGTTGAGTTCTATATTATTATTATTATTATTATTATTATATTATTGTTATTATTATTATTATATTATTATTATTATTATTATAGCACAGCTAACATATCTAACCTCTCATAATTGCCTTGAGGGAAGTTGGCATTAACTCAATGGCTGCTTCTACGTCCCTCAGTGAATCCTGGTGATTTCCTGTTTTTGAAATAAATATCTCTGATGAGCTGTACATATAGCAAACCCACCACCTTTACCTCAACTTTAGGAAAAGCTTGTGATGCTCATTGATATCTGGGGTAAGAGGTACGTTACTTCTATGCATTTTTGAGAGGCCAAGATAAGGCATATATACTTTTCCGGAGAATTTCTTTTTGGGCATACATTCAAAATTATCACCTTTTTTAGAAAATTACCACTGACAGCCAAATAGCTTCAAAAGAGAAAAAAAAAGGATATAAAAGCTCTCATCATCTTACCAAGTTTAAGATGTGTAATAGCCCTGTTGTTGTACAGTTTGGCCTTCAGTTCTTTCTCATTACAGTTCACTTTAATTCCTTTGGTGTAAAAATGAATAGCATCGATGAAATCTCCTTTCTTGAAGGCGTCATTACCTTGATTCCTATGAAAATCAGCCGTGGCTGCAAAAAAAATATATAGAAAATAATTTCTGTCAAATTCTGTGGGTAGTTAATTAGTGTGTAAGCAGAGCTGCCAAGATCCGAAGATTTAAAATCTGCAGATTTTTTCTTTTGTGCCAGCCACTTTTGCACCTGCCTGACTTGAACAATCCCTGAAAACCTTAGATGACATCAGCAGCCACCCCTCCCTCCTCACAGGACAAACCCTTCTCAGTTAACTTATAAGAGAGTTTTTTTGGTCGAAAGCTTAACCAATCAGACTCAGTTGCTGTTGTGGTTGTTGTCTAATCTAGATTGCACAATCTAAGTGCAATCAAGAAAATTGAGATAAAAATCCTAAGATAAGCAAAATAACATTGGATATAGGAAACCTGGAGTTCAAATGTTATATTTCTGTGAGGAACCGACCCAAATCCTATTTTATCTTGATGGTTTGATGACCTATATGGGGGGCCCAGAGTATCGTTCTTTTTCTGTGAGACTCTCTGATAATCAGAGAGAGTTGGCATAATTATAAGTCTACTGCTTTAATTACATTTAGATAGTTACTGAGTTAATAAGATCCAGATGTTGCAATCATAAAAACCAGAAGCAATATTACCCATCGACAAATAGATAGGATTTAAATGATAAGAATGATAATAAAGAAGATGAGATTATAAGTTATCATAATGCTAATAATGTGGGTGACAACAGTGGTAATAATAATGACGAGAGTTAAGCGTCATCCAATTTAAAGCAAACCTCTGGGCATTTAAACTTTTCGAGATCAATCACAAATTTTCATGTAAAAAACAAAATAATTAGCAACTGTGACTTTCAGCACATTGACCAAGCTTTAAAACCTAAACCTTATGCGCTTTTTTCTTCTGAGCCATTTGTTAGTGAACGTGCACTATCTGCCTTAAACACCTATATATTCATTGATATAACACATGTATTCTAATGGAAAGTCTTCACTTCTGGTTCAAATTTCTCAATGCCAGTCAGGCAAGGTTCAATCTCCCCCTACCCTTCCCCCCTCCCCTTTGGCTTGGATGATGATCAAAAGCCCGTGGGTTGCTCGAGGAGAAGGGAGGGGATGTTGAAGCTTTCAAATTGACTGCTGCATTATAAGGGGAAGATGATGATGATGATGATGATGATGGTACTTTATAATGATATACAAACTTACATAATGGATGTTGTATGATTATCAAATAAGGTCTTTACGTATTATTAATAACTTTGCTTTGAACTTTTAGAAAAGAATATAACAAAGGTTTGTGTGTTGAAAATTCCTTCTCAATGAACGGCATA